TAGACCAAATGCAGCACCTTTTACAGCTTCCAGAGGCAGAAGCTTGAGTGACATTAAGACACTTTGCAATTTCTGACCATTTTAAGCTGTCATTCCGCAAGCAAAGACCTTTCTCTTCAGGAAGGCTTTCCCTTATGTCTGACTGTCTGAGGACGATTTTTTAAATGGATTGTGGTTTTTAAATGTGTTTTAGTGCCAATTCTATTTAAATATAATGTTTAATTCTGTTTAAATATTTGTATACTTATGTCTGACTGTCTGAGGAGGATTTTTTTAAATGGATTGCTGCTTTTAAATGTGTTTTAGTGCTGATTCTATTTAAATATAGTGTTTATTTAATTCTGTTTAAATATTTGTATACTTACTGGTTTTAGCTTTCAGTGCTGTCTTTTTAATGATCTAAGCTTCCTTGGGACCTTTTTAAGGAGAAAATATTTTAAATAAATAAATAACAAGTCATTTATTTCTTTATAACAAACAAACCTTTTCTAGCCACAAGATATAAATTCATGTTTATTTTCCTGTTTAGGAAAAAAAAGAAAGACATACTGAAAATTAAATGTTATTCCCTCTTCAGTTGCTCTAAAACATAATAGTACTGTAATCATTTTATAAATCAGAATTCTATTTTAAATAGGTTTTTATTCATTTGGCAAAAGCAAGAGATTCTTATGTGAGGGCTTAATAATTAAAGCCATGTGATTTCATTTCAAATTAGAGAAAATCAAAGAGAAAATGTAATAACACCAAGTGCAGTACATATAAAGCTTCTCTGTTCAAAGGCTGTAGCTGGATTACAGTAAAAGCAGTCTCTAACCATCAGATTTTTTTTTTAAAGTACAATGCTCAAATCAAGATTAAGTATACAAACTCCAATAATATTGACTCTTTTTTGCATTTGAGGTTTGCAGATCAAAACTGATTTGTAAGCAAAATGCTGTCATAATTCAGATTTTGTATAACATAAAATACACTAACTGGGTTCAAGGGGAACACTATGGGGAGTAAATTATGCAGTCAGAGCAACATGGGTATGAATACTGCTGCTGCTAGACTCTCTAAGTTTTACAAAGCAGGTTCAGCCTTGAAAATAAGAATGATGAAGAAAAGTTTCCTGTGGAAACAAAAGCGCTTCTGATACCGATAGATCACAGTAAACGATTTTTAAGTATATAGTTTAAAAGTCCGTTGTTGTTTATTAAAAAGGGAAATCACATTTATTCATTTCAAACAATTCCTAAGCAGTTTACAATATTGTAGTTGGAATTACTGGGATTCTTTCATTATAGTCAAAGACCAACACTTTCAATACTATATTTTGAAACCCTCAAAACATAATGCGCTCAAGTATTATACCAGCAAGCAACTATTTTAGCAACTGAAACATCTTGCTTTGAAAGCTGTCTGATCCCACTGAGGACCAAGGTCGATGCCACAATGAAGGAAGCTATCATCTGCAGAAGTGCTTCTCAACAGAGACAGGCTGAAGTCTAGCTTACCTAAATCTTACAGGAAGGTCAATGCTTGTTATAGTCCCAAACTTCAATTTCTGCATGTTATAGAGATAAAAACTTTTAAAAAAAGTTCAACAATATTTCACTCTGCTGCAAGTGCTGTCAGTATTCCTATACACATCTACTCATAATCTTCAAAGCAAAGCAAAGTGTGCAGCTTATATACTGCCCCATAGTGCTTAAAGCTCTATCTGGGCAGTTTACAATTTAATTATGCAGGCTACATAATGCTCCCTCTCTCAGCAAGCTGGAGTCCTCAATATACAGTACTGACTTCAGCAGGATGGAAGGCTGAGTGAACCTCGAGCTAGGTACCTGGGATTAAACCTGGGTCATGAGCAGATTTTGTTTAACCACTATGCCATGAGGCTCTTGCATTTAACCCCACTGTGTCTAAAGGAACACTCTGTTCAGTTATTTGATAAGCATGTCAAGACTGCACACACATTGAGCAGGAGAAACGAACCATGCCTGCCTGTGTTTTCACTTTCAGCACATGAAAGTGACAGCATGGATCCCCTCTATGAGAGCTAGAACTCTGATTTCTGGGATGAGATTTTTCTTTTTCTTTCTATTAACACTGTAGCAATCTACATTTAATGGCAACTTAACATCAGCTTAACAGTTTAAAATGTGGCCTAGCCAACATAATAACCAAATTAGACGTTCCGAACTCACTATCAGCTAAACATTGGCTGAAATCCAGTAACAAATTACAACTAGAGTAGAACCACTGAAGCAGTGGGGATTTGGTGAGTCAACACCTGTGTAAACCCCATTGTGTTAATGGGCTGCTCTACTTGTAATTTACTACCAGATTTTAGCCATTTTCTAATCACTTTCCTATCTTCTGGGTTTTGAAACTAAGATTTGCTTTTCATCATTTCCTGATGTACCATCTCCTACCAAATCTGAAGGATAACCGCCCAGAGTAGACATGTTCTAGATGGGCGGTATATAAGTCTAATAAATAAATAAAAATAAATCTATATGTGATCTTTTTATCTGTGATCTTGTTTTCCTTAGAAGTAGCAAATTTTGCTTAGCTTAATGAGCAGTTCAGGTCCCCAATGTGCATCACAGAAGAGGCTGTGTGGTCTTGGGTAAAGCAGCCTACTCCCAGGACACCCCCAGAATAAATCACTTCTGAGTGTTCTTTACTTGGAAAAATCTGAAAAGGAAAGTCAGAATTGATTTGACATCTCATGATTTATTATTATTAGTAGTAGTATCTTTTAGTATATAAGTAGTAACTTTGGCATTTCTCTTCTCCCTACCCCAGGTCCACCACCCAGTAAATAATAGTGGAGGAGAGCACTCTGTGCTTGAAATTCAAAAAGCTAGTCTTTAGCTGACCAAATCCTCATTTTCTTGATATACCTTATGGTTTAGAACAGCTGCATCCAAAGTATGAATAGTCATAATGATGTTGAGCCTCTGTCAACAAGAAGGGCACCGAGATAACACTTCATGCATCTAGTAAAATACATTGGAGTCCACTGAAAGTTCATGCCATAACAATAATAATTAGCGTTTAAGGTTCCACCAGACTCCTTGTGTGCACAAGTACCACATAAATCCACACATCCAGGTAACATCTTCATATTTCTATTGCTAAAATGTAGTGCATGCAGAGCTTGGAGTGTTGATTTTTAAAAGGACCTCTTTTCATTACTTATTATTTCTCCTCAGCATCATTGCTGTTATTGCTATGGGTCCTCCAACTGCACATGTAATTCATTTTTTATAAACATGCTGCCCTTAGCAATATGGCCAAAAAAGTAATTTAGTTATTACTCGTTACATCTAGAAGGTAACTTTATAATTACCTGTAACACAACCAGCACCTTCTTAATGAGTTGGATTTTGCCACTACGGTGCATGTAATTAGCCTTATACAAATGTAAATCACCAACTGGATTCCGGCCACAACTTGTTTCAGAAAGTAACTAGTTACAAGATACATTTTACTAGCTGTGAGTGCTTGTAGAAATATATACTGTAACTGCACTCTATAGTATTTAAGAATGCTCCAATTTGCATCACTCTCAAAGGAGCAAAAGAGGAAAGTTGGTTCCTAGTTTCTTCATTGTTTGGACTTTAGAACATAGGCACTCCAGTTGCTGTTAAATTCAAACCATATCAACCTCAGTCAGCATTGCAAATGATCAGAAATTATAGGAGTTGCACTCTAGCAACACCTGGAAGGCTGCAAATTCCCCCATGCCTATGTTGGATCCTGCATTTCCATTTTCCACAATACGCTCAGTTTTCAAATCAGCCATGCTATTAGCTTTGAGATTTGCTGTGGTGTGTAGTGGACGGACTCAGACTAGGGAGCCTTGGATGCAAATCCATGCTTGGCTATGGAAACTCATGGGAACAAAGGCAACGGTGAACTGCCCTTTGGACATCTTATGTCCTGTGAAGTTGTGTCTGACTTACAGTGACTCTAAAATGATTTTTAAGATATTTAAGGTATGGTTTTATTCATGCCCCCCCTCCAAATTTCCATGGGCAAGCAGATATATCTGAACCCAGGTCTCCTGAATCCTAGGGGATGATCACACAGCCATATACTGTATGTAGCTTGCCTATGGAGTGGTTCAGTGTGAGCTTAATTCTGGTGATCACACAAAATATAGGCAATAGTTCTCCAGCCTGACCTCATTAATGCCCAAACTGTACCTTTCTGGCCCAGGAGCAGGGCTACTCCTTTTTGGGGCCAGGCTGGAGTGATTTCTCAGAGAAAGGAAGCACTACTTTAAGGGAGAGTGCTCCTGACAAAGCAGGATCAGATATGATCCTTTCTTGCCTTCTAAACACACCCCTGTTTGCCATTCTACAGCACTATACCCTTTGGGCATCTCACATACCTTGTGCCCCCTATTACTAAGGTTACAATAAGATGAAAGTGACTTGGCAGAACATGATAAATGCAATATTACTGGCTCTTAATACTGCTGAAAGCTTTTGAGTTCCATGGGTCAACTGAATCTTTTTTTTTCTGATTAATGATTTATCATTACAATTTCCATTCCTAGCAACCTGACCCACAGAGTGTCATTTAAACTGGGGGATGGGGAAGTAAATTCTAAACTCACAAGCAGCTCTGCAGTTTCCCCTAAAACAGGTTGTAATCAGATTTTTACCTGCATTCACACAAATTTATTTAGATATTAGGCGTGTCTGGGTTTCAGAGCAGGAACTCTGATTTTTTTTTTTGAAAAAAAAAAGGAGACAAACATCCAAGCTAAAATTAACCTTTTTATCAGGTTTCTCTCGTGCGGGGGCGAAAGGCGTGGGATCAGAACCAACCGAATTCCTTGTACGAGGCAAACAAGAGTTTGGCGGAGACCAAATACCCGGGAGAGTTCGGTAGTACTTACAAGGAGGCTCTGTGTGTGTGTGTGGAGGAAAGGGGTGTGCCCGCCTGTTCTTACCCAGGGGAACAAATGAACAGCTCCCCGCCGCTGCCAAAGGAGAAGTCCGCGGACGGTGCCAGCGCCTTGATGCGATTACAGTACAGTATACTTGAAGAACGCTCCGCGAAGCTCCGCCCCCTCGGAGCGCGACCAGTCGCCTCCACCGCTTGGGTCAGAGCTGGGTGGGACTGGCGGTCTTTCTTTCGTTACTGCATTGCAAGCACTGAGGGCATGGGGAGGCAAGGCGTCTACTCGGAGGCAAGAGTCCGGAACTTTGAAACATGCTCGGGCAGTTTCAGGATGGCTACAAACCCTTTCAGCTTCATCAGAAAAAATTAAGGTAAAAAACCCTTCCGGCTTTTTCCTTTCCTCCTCTCATTATATGTAGAGTTTTATTCTTCACGCTGATGATTTTTTAAGAGAACGAGAGGTTTTCTCTGCTTAATTGGCTCCGTTTTTTTAAAAAAAAATTATATGCATTGGTTGCGAATTTATGGAAATGTAGTGAGATCCCTTTATGGCTTCTGTCTTCTCTTTTCGACCACGCTCGGATCCTTTTGATCGTTTGCTTTATTTCTATTTGCAACTACTGTATTCTTTAGTTCAAGCGCTTCTTCCTTCATTGATCGCTTGCCTGTCTGGCTGCCGGCGACTTCATTTTAAGCAGGCTGCGTCTTCCTTGGTTGTCAGCTGAGCACTCCGGGTTTAGTTTAAGGATTTAGGGGAGGTGTTGTAGAATTGTATTTGAATAAACACGGATCGGACTTTTGTACCTTACTTAAATAATAGGAAGTGTGCACGCGTTTGCGGTGCAAATCCGAAGTAATTATGGAAACTGTAAATCGCTAAGCTCAGGAAGAGGTGCCGTAAAGCTGGTTTGGGATTAGTTTGTTGCACTGCAATCCTGATTTAAGACAGCAGCCATTCGCCGTAATCTAAATGATATTTCTCTACCTGGCTCTTAAATGCACTCATTGCATTAAGTACTCTTTTTTGGAGGGGTCACTTGAACTGACTTGACAGCGGAGCGTTGGAATAAACTACCATAGCGACGCTAAACTCTTGCCCCCGGCAGACTGACAGGTCCCTCGGTTTGGTTTCCGCGGTGGCCGCCCGCCCGCATCACATCGAGCGCTTTCCACCTGTCTGAGAAGCGCTACTGGCTGACATCATGGAAACACCCGGTTTGTCGGGGAAAGAGCGAGCTCCCCGCCCCCATCCTGCCGCTTTTCGTGATTCAGTCTAAGAGAGTCTCCCTTGGTCAACTTGAACGTCAATCAACCGAGAGGGCCCTTTGTGGAACCTCCCTTGGAACGAAAATGGGGCGAGTCCGGAGGCTCCGCCTCTTTCTTGGTAGCGAGGGGCGTGGCAAGCTCACAGGTAGAGCCGCTTAACTAATGCATCTTTGTGTTTCTCGCGCCCGCCCGCCTTGCGTTGTCGCGGATACTTTACTTTCAGAGCTGCTTTGCCTTCCGTCTCCGGTACGTCGCTCCGAGGTGATGAAAAGCCGCTTGGCTTTCACCCTCCGCACACCCTGCCCACCGTAAGGGCACAGCGGCTCAGGGCAGCTTGCGTTAGGCATCCCGAATAGGTAGTGGCTGCGAGTACCCAGGTAGGCAGAATGTTCAGTTTTAAGTAGACTGTCGTACTTGTTTTGATGGATTTGAAATTTTTTGTTTGGGGAGTGTAGTATAGGGGTGTGTGTGTGTGTAAAATCTGGGTAGCAAGAAGAACTACAGTATATATATAGTTCTGGACATAAACATATATAAACGGAAGTGTCAGTCTGGATAGCAAGGAGAACTATGTCCAGTTTAAACATATAAATATGTTTAAACTGGACATAGTTCTCCTTGCTATCCAGATTGACACTTCCGTTTTCCTGAGCTATTTCTTTTGTGTATCTTATTTCTTTAAATTCTTTGTCTGTGCTACAGTTTTCTTACAAGTTTGCTTCTAAAGCTATAGTTTTGGAGAGAGGGAACCAAGTGGGTTTTCAACGGTGAGAGAATACTGGCATGAATGAATCCAACATACTTTTTTCTATGACCCGCTTAAAGGTTCTCACTCTCCACTGCTGGAAGGCAGAACGCCAGGTTAGAAGGCATGGACACATCTTGGTTTTCAGGACCTAGATTGTTTTGCACCAGATCCCTGTGATTCGGCGACTGAACAGCATGCAAGAGATTTGTTTTGAACCACAAAATTCCAACCTATGAATTCATTTTGAATGCCAGAGAATTGAATGGTGCTCACAGATTCCATGCTGTTTACCACAAGCTGTCCTTGTTTCATTAATATAGGTTGTGCCTCTTTTTTCACCCTTATGCTTTCCGCATCCTCTCCCAGTGATAACACCTCGGTAGATTTGGGGAGCCAAAGTGCTTCTCAGGAAACTTTGGTTACTCTATTCTCTGTGTATATGGCTCTTTCTTTTTATAAGAATAAATTAAATGACTGCATTGCTGGTTGGACAAGAGAGAGCTTTTGTTTTGTTTTTACTTTGAAGGAAAGGTTTGAAGATCTTGACCATTAAAGTGTTTTTTTATATAATGCATGTTGGTTGTTCCAGTTTTGAGCAATGTTACATATCACTAAGACTCTGTGAGATTGGTTAGTATAAACTAAATATTCATTGCTTTCTTTTATTTTGTTAGAGGGTTCTGTACATTGTTAAAGTTGGCACACTTCCTTTGTAATTGCTCTCTCAGAAGAGAGCCACCATTCTTATTTCTCGTTACCTCAGACCAGTGTAGTGCATCAGTCTACATCAAACAATTAAATTAGACTGGACATGTGAAAAGATAATCTTTCTCCCATACAGGGCTTTGGGAAACAATTATTTGCTCCGGAGTAGCTAAGGATCCATGCCAATTTCAGGAGGAAAATTGGTCTGGTTCATCTAAAATAGGGATAATTCCACCCAGAAGGTTTTTAAAGCATCTCCTGGTCAATTCAGGGCACTTGGTGTCTGCAAGAGGCACAGATATTATGTTTTGTGGCCTTTTCCATGCTGATTGCTGTTATCACACATTGTAAACTGACAAAGGTAGCAGGACCCACAGCATGGGCTGTGTTCCCAAAGGTGAATATTTGGGGGGAGGTTATTGTGCGGATGGGGGAGGGAGGGAAAAGTGCAATTAGAAGACAGATACAAACTTGGAACACTGGAGTGGAGGTTTCACACATGTATGGGAGACATAGTATTAGGATGGAAGCATGGAACAACATGCACTTCATTTAGTAGTGAAATTTATATACTGTACTACTTTTCCTGCAGTAGTGTTTAAAGAGTCATGCATGCTTTCCTCCTCCATACTTAAGCTTCAGAACAGTCTGCTGTGGTCTGTCAGGCTGAGAGAGAGTAACGTTTTCTAGTATGTTTCATGCCTCAGTGGAGACTAGAGCTTAGATTACCCAGATCCCAGTCAAGTACTTTAACCATTAATAGGGCCTTTAAAAAGCAACAAGAACGAAACTTTGGCCCTGCTTGTATGGTATTCTTCCGAAGGAGTAGTGGTTAACCACATTCAGTTGTGATTTGAACTGCCACTTGGATGAAACCTAAATATTTGTTTGCTATCTTTATTTGCAACCCTGTACAGTAAAGCAGATGAGTTCATTTATTAAATGTGAATGTACAGCTGTGCAGTTCCCCAGTGTACTTAAATTGCTAGCTATGTTAACTGGAGGTGAAACTCATTAGCCTTTATGAGCATGAGCAGATGTCCTAGTTTAAGTGCATTCCCTGAAAAGATTCAGATGTTGAATATCGGACTAGTCATCTCTCATGAAGTCTGTTGCAATCAACAGCAGTGCTGAAAGAGGGAGCAGTGTTTTTGAAGTTGCTATGTTTGGACGTCTCCCTTCACTCAGTTTGGAAGACATTGCATTTTGAAAATGTCAGTGGGTTGGATTTTTTGAAAGTCATCATAGACTTTATGTCTAAGCACGGAACTGCAATGAATTCTCAATCATGTGTTTCCAAATACTAACATTGTATTTCTTTACAAAATCTGAGGGCATTCAGCAGGGAATGGCCTCTGATCTTGCTGCTTTGCTGCAGGCTTTGGAAATAAATTGACGGCCAGATGGCTACTGGTTGTAACTTCAGAGATGTTGAGAAATACCTTCACATTTTCTGCTTGCAGAAATAGCTGGTGGCCTCCCTCCCACCCACTGTTTTTCCCTCTCCTTTTTTTGTCGAACCATTTCCCCTTTACATTTCCTCCTTGCTTGCTACCTTTGTAGCACAAGGGATTAGATCCAATTAGTTGGGCACAGTGCACATGCCAGTGCAAAGTAATTGCCTGCTCGTTTGAATTCAGGATAAACAGCCTGATCTCATGACTTGGTCAAGACAACTGCTGCTACACCTTTGCTGGCAATGATGCAAGCTAATAAATTATCATACTGACTGCATTGGAGGTCTGTTGTGGTTGGTGGGGTAGAGGCAGAGCAACCAATGTTGGGCACAGCCAGGACCAAAAGGTAAAATGTAGACACACATGGGGAGACACATCAGTGCATTCATTTCCCCTGTTGCTCACACCCTCACATCTTGAGAGGAATTGAAACATGTTCACACACAGGCAGGCAAGCCGCCACATGCCCCAAGACCTTTTGTGCCCCATTGGATGTCACTGCTAGATGATGGTATAAAAGTACTGAAATAGTGAAATTTCAGAATAGAAATGCAAACATTTAAGTTGAAGAGAGCCCAGTGTGGACCATCTGTTCTGCCTTTTAAAGATCTCAGGTTGAGTCCCTGACATGTTGAGGCTGGGCTGGAAAAGACCTGTTCTCAAACAGTGAGGAGTTATTTGCTACCATTAGCACAGTCAGTTTTCAACTAGATGGCCCAGTGGTTTGTCCTGGTATCGTGTAGCTTCCCGTGCCCCCTTATCTCCTTGGATCACATAGTTGCAGCTCCAGAGGATGAGGTTTGGTCAGGGACATCAGAGCTTAGAAAAGTTGTTTGGACTACAGTTCCCAGAAACCACAAACAAATATTTGGGTAGGGGATTTAGGACCTGTTGTCCAAAAATACATTTCCTAACTTCTCTTGCCGCCACCTTCACATGCTGTGCTGTAAATAATGAAATGTGTCTTCAGTTCTGGCAATGTCTCTTATAAAAGTAGCAGTGTAAGGATTCATGGATCTCCAGGAAATAGCTTTACATTGAATTTGGGGTAGTAGAACCCTACAGAGCATAATAAAAATGACTGTGCATGGAGTTTAAAGTGAGTTGGTTTGGATAATCCCACTGGTTGGTTTCTCAAAAAGTTTTAATGGATCCAAAAGTCCTAGAGAGGTTTAAGACAGGCACATCCTATAGT